TGTGTGTGTGTGTGTGTGTGTGTGTGTGTGTGTGTGTGTGTGTGTGTTTGACTGTGGAAATGTCCACTTATGTCCAAATATGTGCCAATTTTTTGTTTATCTTTGATTTGCATTGTGAAACTCTGCTTTGTCACATTTCCATTTGGTATAAATCCCTGAGAGGTTTTTAAAAACACACGACTTCCTCCCAAATCAGTCAGGATACCATCACAACCCTGGTTCAATGCTTCCCCAACAGATCCAAATCCTGTCACAGTCCAAACCATCAGGATACCAGCAACAATCCTGAATTCTACAGCATCATATGTTAAGTACATTTGTTTTTTTCCAATGTAAATCACAATAGAATCAGCTATGGACAAGTACATGGACAGAAAATATTCTGGATTTTGGTCACTTTTGGTGCCGAGAGAGAAATCACATTCATAACAACATCACGAGAGAAAAACAAGCTCACATTCACAAACTCACTGGACATCTATCACATTCATATGCACACTGACACTGTCTGTGTGTGTGTGTGTGTGTGCGTGTGTGTGTGCGTGTAGTTTAATTGTGAATGCTTGGCAACAGCCTCGGTTCATACAGCAAAAGCCAGAAAAACAGACAAACCCCTGCAGAGAGAGCGAACGAACAAAGGCAGAATTTATCTTGTTTCCAACGAGAAAGCGACTGAGCCCTGAGAATGAGTCACCATGCTGACTAACACTGGAGCCTCACGTACTTTACACATGGAGGGAAACGCTGCTAAACACACTGCGAAATGTTGAGTGCTTTGCAAATACATCTCCAGTCTCCTATCGGTTGAAACTCCGTCCGTCACAGAGGACAGATCTAAATATCTAACGATGTTTTAGAGGATGTTCCTCTCACCTCACGGCTTGCACTTGAAAGCGCCGGGTTTTGGCAAGAATCTGGTGATACGATACGTATCATGATACAGTACTTCGATACTGCAAGCAAGGCGATATATTGTAGGGCTCCAAACTTTAAGCTCCATTACCCCAGAATACAACGGTGAATACTGCTGAGGACGAGGTTCTGAAAATTGTGTAAATATTGTATATATTGTGTAAATGGGAACCCAAATGTTGGTTAAAACAAATCTTGAGTTGTGTTTTCTTACACCGGTGTAGTTATTTTACGTAACAAACATACTTATTTTAACTCAAACGACAATCTTATCCTCAACCGAATCAAGTAAACCTGAAAAACAAAGTAAATACGTTGGAAATTTATTTTGAAAAGGTACTGTATGCGTTAATTTGGCAGGCCTTCCCTGACAAGTTCAAGGCTAACGCTAGAGGGGAATCTGACTAAACGTCGTTTTTTGGCAAGTTGGGAGTGAGAATGTGGGATGCCAATAAATAAAAGCATTTTTGTTATTAGGTATGCAAGGTCAGCTCAACTCTGGTGTATACCAGAGCTGGCTAAGCTATGCAGGATACTTACAAGTGATACACTACTACGTGTGAGGCGGAGGGACACGAGGTAAATAGCTACTTTTCAGTAGCATTGCTAACTCGTAGCTAGCCTTGCTAACTAGTAGCTAGTCTTGCTAGCTCTACTTATACTGCAAGAAGCCAGGCATGCAGACAAAAGTGCAACATTTTCCAGCACATTTAAAAGAACAATAAGGTGACTCTATGTTGTTGTTGTTGATGATATTGTAAATTATGTCTCAAACAAAACGTGTCAAATCCATTATTGTTCAAATTTGCCGGATCGTCACTGATATTGAGATGGAAAAAAACGCGAACAAAAAGGAGGAGCGTTGGGTCACATGAGGGTCCAGCAGGTCACAAAGGTCAATGTTGAATCATCGACTGATACGAGTGTTTCTATAGACAACATCCCCTGCGGCACTGCACACCATCCACACGGTATTTAATAGTCCTACCTCACACACACACGCACACACATACATGTGGCCCTCTGTCCATGCATGTGTGGAAATGGTTGACAGCAGCAGACGTTTTCTTAACAGGGACCGTTTGCATTATCAGATTTGACCCCATCAGACACCAAGTCTGAAAATATGTCTCTTTCTAGTCCTTTTCAGTCATTTTGAGTCTCTTTGAAGTAGTTTTGAGTCTTTTTGAAGTCGTTTTGAGTCTCTTTGAAGTCGTTTTGAGTCTCTTTGTGGCAATTTGAATTCTCTTTATAGTCATTTGAGACTTCTTGTGGTTGTTTTAAATCTCTGTGGTTGTTTGAATCTCTTTGTGGCTGTGTAGTTTATAGTAGCTTTGAGTCAGTTTGTAGTTGTTATGCATCTCTCTGTAGTTGTTTTGAGTCTCTTTCTAGTCCTTTTGATTCTCTTTGAGGTCCTTTTGGGTCTCTCTGTAGTTGTGTGGTCATTTTGAGTGTATTTGTGGCTAGAGTCTCTTTGTAGTCGTTTTGAGTCTCTTTGTAGTTTTTTTTTATTCTCTTTGTAGGCGTTTAGGTTTACCTGTGCTCATTTTGAGTCTCTTTGTGGCCTTTTTGAGACTCTTTGTGGTTGTTTTAAATCTCTGTAGTTGTTTGAGTCTGTTTGTTGTCGTTTTGCATCTCTCTGTAGTGGTTTTGAGCCGCTTTGTAATTGTTTGAGACTCTTTGTGGTTATTTTAAGTCCCTTTAAGCATGTTAATTCAGCATGACTCACAAAATGACTGAGTTCTGAAAGTTTTATTGCTCTATATTTATTTTTTATCTTTTATCCCATTCTTGACTGTGTTTGTGTATGTTTCTTTTTTTCTGTATAACTTTGAAGGTATAACAATATTTTTTGGCATATTGGGACCAAACAAAACTTAAAATCTAATTAATTTTAAGTATGGATTTATCTGTTGTATTGTTTACAAAAAAGGCTGATTCTGCATTTAATGCATCACCGGAATCTTCATGACAGCAATTTAACTTTTGCTACTTTAACTTTTGTCACATTCTTACAACTTCTGCAGGAGTTAGAGGGTCTGTGGAGGACACGGTCTACTCTCTTGGTTACCTTCTGGTCCACGATGGAGCACGCCACTTCCCGGACCTGACTGAGGCTGAGCTCTGCGGCGTCCAGCATCACCGGCTCCCGGCTCAGACCGATCTGAATGTGGAAGGAGATCACATCGCCACCTCCTCCTCCACCACCTCCTCCTCCTCCTCCTCCTCCTCCTCCTCCTCCTCCCCCGGTGCCGGTGGTGGTGTTGTTTGTCCCCCCTGAGAACGGGAGCGGGCTGGGCGCACGGATCAGCGGAGGCGCACTCATGTGAGCCTTTTCCCCGGTGGTCTCCAACACTGCCAGGAAACAATTAGGAAGTCACGACGATGACAAATGACCGCACGAGCTGATTGATTAGGGAAATCAGCGGCGGAGAGGGAACCGACGGGGTCCAGGTGGAGCAGCCAGAGCAGGGGGATTTAAAGCCGGAGAGGTGCGGTGATGCTCGGACGCACGGAACTCCTCAAAGCGTCAGAAAAAAATAAAAAGCGCAAAAAAAATAAAAAAGAGTTCCCGACAGAAACGACGACTGATGAACTACAACAGAAGTACGAGGAAAAGTGCAGAAGAGCTGCGAGAACACAAACAGAGACAGGACGTGAAGACAGAGGGAGTAAGAAGAGCCATAATGACTACATGACTGGACCTGAGAACAGCGTGGAAACCGGTGATGCGGGTGACAGAGCCATGGACGTCAACAGAGGCTGGAGAGGAGGAGGAGGAGGGGGAAGAGGAGGAAGAGGAGGAGAGGAGTGGAGAGAGGGAAGCCTCCTGGACTGATGGGTGATGGATTGATGGAGAGATGTGCAGAGAAAGAGTTGGTTTAATTTGCACTACTTCCTTCCTTCCTCCCTGTCTTCCATCTATCCATCCTTCCTCCCTCCCTGCCTTCCTTCTATCCATCCTTCCTCCCTCCCTGCCATCCATCCATTCATCCTTCCTCCCTCCCTCCCTGCCATCCATCCATTCATCCATCCTTCCTCCCTGCCTTCCTTCTATCCATCCTTCCTTCCTCCCTCCTTGCCTTCCATCCATTCATCCATCCTTCCTCCCTCCCTGCCATCCATCCATACATCCTTCCTTCCTCCCTCCCTGCCATCCATCCATTCATTCATCCATCCTTCCTTCCTTCCTCCCTCCCTTCCATCCATCCATCCTTCCTTCCTCCCTCCCTGCCTTCCATCCATCCTTCCTTTCTCCCTCCCTCCCTGCCATCCATCCATCCATCCATCATTCCTTCCTTCCTTCCTTCCATACATCCATCCATCTATCTATGTTGGTTGCTAGGAGACAATCACATAGATATAAAGACACACTCAGCCCTCCCACGCTTCAACCTTGCCTCCATTTACTTCCTTTTATTACCAAGGATGATGCCACAATTGTGGCATATTATGTGTCTGTGTGTGTGTGCAGTGTGTGTCGGTGTGTGTGTGTGCGTGTGTGAGACAGGGTATATCTTGTCAGGGCAGCAGGTCAGTGTACGACAAACTAATAATATAATAACTAAATATAGTAATTATGATTATGAATTTGTTGATAACTCATTGATTCCGATAATATTAATAAATGACAATAATAATAACAGGTTAGTATCATAAAGTCACATGCTGTAAACATCTGTAATCAAACCTTAATCTCTTTGAGCTGAAATGTTCACGCTGTGAATTATAAATAACTAATAATTCATATTCAGGTCACGACCGTCTCTGAGGTGCAGCGCCACCTGAAGGTTGTTTCCTGTGTTGTGTTCACTGACCGCTGTTTCCTTCCTGTTACAGACAACAGACGAGCCAATCACAGCTTTGTAGGCGTGTGTTAACGACGTGGACGTCATCTTCAGAGACAAAAAACATATGACAGAAGAGTGGAAGAGTGTGATGATGTTCACAGCAGTATGTCCGTCCATCCGTAGTCCTTCCTTCCTTCCTTCCATCCAATCTTTCACCCAGGAGACAGCTGTTTGTTCCCTGTGTGAAAGAAGTCAACGTTGATTTATTTATTATGTAACTTCTGTATTTAAGTAACAGCACTTCCATATTTATTTTAAGTCAAACCACCATCTCTTTCTAAACTAAGTTGTTTCCTGTGAAGACTGAACTTTACTTTGAAAAGACTGTATTCATGTATCTAGTGGATATTGACACACGTGTTGCTGGACTTTTTTCGATAAACCCACTAAAAATAAGGAGTATTGAGGAGTTCAGTTGAGTTGTATGGAAGTATGATTTTGTAGGAGACAAGGTTGAAGTGAGGACCTGGAGACAACCAATGAGCTTGTTTTCATCTAATAATGCTTCCAATGCAGTCGTGGAGGTGTGAAGTAGTTTCTTTTAGAGCAGGTCAGTGAAGGCATCGTATCAGCAGGAGTCAGTCAGAGTGGGAGTCTGGATTTCCTGAAGGAAGACTGATGAACAGATGAGTCACAGAGATTCCTCCACACAGCAACAGCTGACTGATATTACACACACACACCTACACCTCCATCAACAACTCCTCAAACATATAACTCCAGGTTCCATATAAATAATGTTGAGTTTAAGTAATTAAAATGATTTGATTATAAAGAAACAATTGTGTTTATGGCTAAAAGAAGCAATTTAAAAGATACAACAATAAGTAAACATTTTAATTTATTATTATTATTTATTATTCAAATTGTGTTTTGTAAACAATCAGTCACACCAGCATTCACACCAGTGACATTTTGTTGGATTTGTTGGTGTCTGTGTTGCTCAAAGGCTTCAGGGCAGCTTCCATAAACGAAGGAATCCTTTCTCACAACAAACTGAATTATTGCTCTCATAAATCTGTGAATAACCAACGTTATTACACAAGTAACTCAAATCATGAGATTACTGTTGTCACTGTGTGTGTGTGTGTGTGTGTGTGTGTGCGTGTGTCTGTGTGTGTGTGTGTGTGTGTGTGTGTGTGTGTGTGTCACAGCTCCTGGAACAGTACGTTCAGCTAAAGCGATTGCAGGTCAGACAATAAGGAAACCTGTTGCCATGGAGATCCGTGTAACAACACAGGGTGGTTGTGTGTGTGTGTGTGTGTGTGTGTGTGTGTGTGTGTGTGAGAGAGATTATCATCCTGTGAGGGCTGCACTTCATTCAAACGTCTCTCTGTAACTCTCCTCCAACAACAGCAGCAGCATCCGTCTGATTGGACCGTTTCAGGTCAGGTGATCACCCACGGAGAGAAGCAACCAATCAGACGATGGATCAGTCGAATTAGACAGAATATGAGTTGATACGAAAAACTGCAAAAAGAAACACAATGATCATGAATACAGAACATATATTATTATAATCATCTTTTTAAAATATTCGTGGTCACATGGAGGGAATGTTTTGAATGTCCACATAAAAACAACCAATCAAACATTTGATCAATTAAAACAAACGTGATTTAAACTAATCAACACAGATCATCTTAAAACACCAATACAACAGCTGATCAGGCAGCTAATTTAACTGCAATTCAACAACATAATCAGTCAATACACCAGTTAATGAATGAATCAATAAGAATAGCAGCATCTCAGTCTTTCCCACAATGCAGTAGCAGTTATTTTTTTACTCAGCACTCTGAACCGTCTCCACTGAAGCATGTTGTGTGACTTTAACGGACACAGTTTGATCTCTCACTCCATCTGTGGATCCACAACTCTGCAGGACCCGAAAAAACCAACAGGACCAGAGTGCTGCTCCGGTGTGAAAAACACGTCGACTGAGAGTCACAGACCGAGGGGACGCTGAGGAGACACTGAGGACACACTGAGGACACACCAAGAGAATATCGAGGGGACGCTGAAGAGACACTGAGGACACACCAAGAGGACATCGAGGGGATGCTGAGGAGACACTGAGGACACACTGATACACCAAGAGGACATCGAGGAGACGCTGAGGAGACACCAAGAAGACATCGAGGGGACACTGAGGACACACCAAGAAGACATAGAGGGGATGCTGAGGAGACACCAAGAAGACATCGAGGGGACACTGAGGACACACCAAGAAGACATCGAGGGGATGCTGAGGAGACACCAAGAAGACATCAAGGGGACGCTGAAGAGACGCTGAGGAGACACTAAGGGGACGCTGAGGAGACACTGAGGGGACACTGAGGAGACACCGAAGGGACGCTGAGGAGACAGAGAGGGGACACTGAGAAGGACACTGAGGAGACACTGAGGAAACACTGAGGGGACACTGAGGAGACCCTGAGGAGACACTGAGGAGATGCCGAGGAGACACTGAGGGGACATTAAGGAGACACCGAAGGGACACTGAGGAGACACCGATCTGTGGAAAGGGGTTCATCTTTCTGGTACACTTTGAGTATTTAAACGTGTTCTAGAAATCAGAAAAAAACAAATGGAGTCTGGTTAGTTTGAACTCCCAGTTGCAAAGTTTTTTATGTGTTGTTAAATTCAGAAGAAAATGTGTGGAGTCTGGTTTGGTTTTTAGGGAGTAAGGTGATAAAGGAGATGGCCGGAGGAATACTCGTAGTGGAGTATTTTCACAGTGTACAATTAGTACTTTTACGGCAGTAAAGGATTTGAATACTTTTTGTTTCACATTCAGATTTGTTTGTTATCAAGTTCATTTTTTGGGGCAGAACACAATGCAAAACACATTTAACAACAAACAAACAGAGAATACCTTCAAAAACACAAAGTAACACCAAGTTATACAATCTGTTAAATAAATCATCTGATTAAAAAACCTGTTATTTAAATGTATGACTTTTCACATGAGAGTGACTCCTCTCTCTCTCTACACTGAGCACGCTCAGACACCTCAAACCACACACACAGTTACTCCAAGTTATTCACATGCCATTATGGCAACAAGAACACACACTGTTCATTCACACACACACACTTACAAACACCGCTCTGACAGATTTGACACCCACCACCCGTTGTTACATTTTGCAGCCCCCTCCTCCCTCCAGGGTGCTATCCCCGTCACCATGGGGTGTGCGAGATATCGGCAAAGTGCTAAAAAGCCGCCGTCACATTCCCAGTAAACTTGGTGTCGTTGTTGAATGTTTGTTGTGCAAATGTTTTGAGGGGAAGTTTGCCGATGGTGGAGGTACAACAGTAGTCAAGAGGGCAGCCGGGAGCAGGAGGGGCTGCTCCACGCCGGAGGAAACCGAAAGAAATGTGTGACGGTATGCGGGTCATAAGCCACGCCCACCGCATGTTACGGTTTGTCTTAATTACTTTCACGTTTTCTGAAAGTGTACCTCGCTTTCACAAAATGTTAAAAACACATTACTGCGACGCCATGTGTGATTGTTACTTTCAGAGAAAGAAAAATAACACGATAGTCGCTCTGCTTCTGCTGACGAGGGATTCCCTTGATAACCGTGTTCCACTTCTACAAGTCTGCTCCACTTCTAGTCTCTTCCACCTCAACAACACTGATCTACCTCTACAAGTCTATTCTACGTCTACAAGTCTATTCTACCTCTACACGTATGTTCCACTTCTACATGTTCCACTTGTAGTCTCTTCCACCTCAAAAACTGTGATCCACCTCTACAAGTCTATTCTACGTCTACAAGTCTATTCTACCTCTACAAGTCTGTTCCACTTCTACAACTCTGTTCCACTTCTAGTCTGTTCCACCTCAACAACACTGATCTACCTCTACAAGTCTATTCTACGTCTACAAGTCTATTCTACGTCTACAAGTCTATTCTACATCTACAAGTCTATTCTACCTCTACAAGTATGTTCCACTTCTACATGTTCCACTTGTAGTCTGTTCCACCTCAACAACT